AAGAGCGTCTGAGGAAGGCACTGCAGGCTCGGGAGCGGGTGGAACAAATGGAAGAAGAGAAGAAAAAGAGGATGGAGCAGAAAATTTTACAGAATGATGAGAAGGTAAGAAAGCTGACCAAGCTTTGGAGCACTCAGTACGGTGATGTTATCTCAGTGAGCTGTGAGACCAAGAGGGTGCAGACAGGCCACTGGCATGCTACACGCAAGCGCAGGATTGCTGCTGACTGTGACTAATCAGGTAGTGGGTAACTCTGCATCAGAGACACTGAAACTCTGTCTAACAAGAGGAGGCTTTTGTTCTCCATACCTCTGCAGTGGTTCTAAACATTCCTGTTTGGACACGCAGTGTTTATGGTGCTCTGTGTTCAAGGAGTGTGGCAGCCTCCCTTGACTCTCCTGTGAACAGGCCCTGCAGATGAGACAGCCTTACTCAGCTTACAGTGCGCTCAGAGTGAGCTGTTCGCACAAAACTTTACAGACAGCGACGCCACGGTGCTTGCAGGCAGTTGCAAAAACGTGGTGGGAAAGAAAAGCTGCCAAGCATGCAAGGGATGCTCATGAGTGGTAGACGTGGCTGCCTGCGTATTTGTATCGTGTCTGTTTCTTAAAGCCTTGTCTGGCCCTCTTCTGAGGACGGGTGTAAGATGAAGAGCGTGCTAGGATGGGCTGTTGATGACTGCGTGCAGACAGTGGTGCTGCTTTTGTACAGCTGTGCAGGTTCTGCAGGATTGAGGGAGGCTGTGCCTGACTGACCCGGAGCCCTAGCAGCCTTTGGGAGAAGGATGGTTGCTCATTTTTGGGAGGTGGACTAAAGGGACCTTTGCAGAGGGTCAGCCTTAGAAAAGAAAGGAATCCTGCTCCTTTCAGCCTTTCCCAAAACCCAAGCAGACAAAAGTATACCCAGCCCTCTTCTGCTGCTGTGGATGTGCTAGTGTTCCTGCTGGAACAGCTCAGGTGAAGGAAGCGTGTCTCGGGGGCTCAGTCAGCTTTCATGTCCCCAGTTCATACTGCAGTTCAGTTAGTCGACAGCAACACTGCAGGCAAAGCAGAAACCAGATGCTAGATCCCCTTGTTCTGCAGAGAATCACTTGCAAGATGGAAGCATGTATTTTGGGGTTGTGTAATGGTCTCTGCGCTCCTTTTTTCTGTCACGCCGAGTGATGGGTGTCTCTTCACATGGCTTATAGTAAGTGGTAGACTTGCTGCATGAGGCTGGTGCTAAATCCAATGCACATATGCCTGGGTTCTTGGTCTCAAGACTCTTAGGACCTGGAATATTGCAGGCTTCAGACTTGAGAAGCAGTTCCCGTCCGCCATCTGGACAAGGCTGTGAGGTCTGTCCTTGGGGGTGGTGGAGCAGACACCTGTGGCTTTCTCAGGTGCGCCCCTCACAAGTGCGGGAAGAGAAGGTGGCAGAGGAGCGGAGCAAGAAAAAGCTGTCAAAGAAGCATGGGGAAGCTGATGCACGGAAGCAGAAAGCACTGAGGAAGGTAAGAGCAACTCTAGGTCCCTTCTGCATGTCAAAAAGGAAAGGAGTAGCCGGGAACCCATGCGTTGTTCTGACTGCTGGGACAGGGAGGGGGGGTTACTGCCTCCCCTGCTGCAAGGATTTTGGGGTCCATGCTGCAAGATTTCTCTTTAGACAGTCAATGTTGGGTTTGAACAGAAGGATGCCTGTGGGGACAGAAGGGAGAGACCGCCCAACTGGTAGGCAGGCTGTGGAAAGTAAGAATGAGATACAGCAAGCACAGGTTGCCTCAAAGCATTTGCTTCACATCCTCCCATCTTTCCCCACCTGAGCTGGAGTGTTGTAAGGGTTTTCTTTCTTCAGGAGGAAGATGAATTTGAGCAGCAAGAACCACTGCAGAAAAGGAGAGAGGATGAAGTGAAAGAAAAAGGAAAGAAAGTCTTGGAACTGAAAAATCTTGTAGAGCAGCAACAAGTGGAACAAGTGAAGGAGAGGTATTAGCTTGTTTCTGTCCTGGAGGAGAGGACTTGGCAACAGGCATGGTGAAGCAGTAAATATAAATAGTATTGCTGAAATTGGTAGACTGATGTGAGTGTCGGGCTGTCCCAAAGGTGTGGGGTGCTGAAGCAGGAGGCTATAAGAATGCTTGGGGCAGGCAGACAGACATGCTTTCCTCTGACTAAACTGTAGCTTTTTTTCCCCCAGGGATCAAAAACACCGAGGGAAGGAGAAGGTCCCCCAACCACAGCTGGAGTCAGCAGTGTTTACTGGAAAAAACATAAAGGTGGGGAGTTGAAGTGGTCTTGGAACAACTTCTCTGTTGTAAACTAGTGAGGCATAGGATACACAGACTTATTTTAAGATCAGCCTTGTTTTCCAAGTGCTGTGTTACTGTTTAAAGTTTTGGCATTCACTATTATGTTATTTAGAGGAACAAGTACAATAAAACCAATGATGAGCCGAACATCTTACTGTAAAGAGTTGGGGCTTGTGCAAGAATAAGCCAACTCTGTTGCTAAAGTTGGGGTTGACGGTTTCGTTATTAGCAGGTGAGCCTTCTCAGCCCCATCACAAGGTGGGTGATAGCCGTACAACAGCACTTTGAAGAGCACCTCCAAATGGCATTCACTGATACTTGAATGAATATGGAAATTAGTAAGAGGTTTGTTTGTTTTTTTCCTACTGCGTTCACTCACTGTATTTGGAGGATGTGATCCCCGTAACAAACTTCAGGTATCATACGGCTTCGTGTAACAAATATTTATACAAATAATGTTATGGCTTAAAGTCAAGGCTGTTTGTCTCAAAATATCACAGTAACATTTTCTTTCCACTCTCTTTCTACTTTTAACATCATTCTTTTTTCTGCATTCTTCATTAGTAAAAATCAAACCCCTAAATGCTACTCCTCTTAAGGATAAATTCATGCTTCTGTATTTGCTTTTGCTGCTCTTACTCACTAGGTCCGTGACATTCAAACTCCTGTTTGTGCTATGTAATTTTAATGAAGGTCTAAATTCTTCGTATGTGGCCAGCAACTGGCCTGCAGTGAGCCACACAAAGCTCCTCCAGATAAGAGAGAAGTTGAACAGAATTCAAAGCGCCTGCAGCTCTTGCCCTCCTGTTAGCTCTTCCCTACTGAGTAGTATGGGAAAAGAAACTCCTGGATAAAGTGGTTTGGGTTGAAAAGGAGTTTAAGCAGTGAAAATTGTTTCTCTTTATTAGGAGGAGAGCCCAAAAGTGCTGCACCAACAGCCTGGGCAGGAGAGGAGAGCCAAGCAACCAGAATCCATTGCTGTGGCTTCTAACCCCTGGCTCAAAGTGGTAAAGGTGAGCATGGGCTCTAGAGACCTTGTTGATCTGGATCTGAGCAAAGACAGGAATTGTATCTTTGAGTCTTGAGTTTGGCTTTTTTCTGCAGAAAAACACAGAGGGACTGAGGATTTTTTTTTGCAAGGGCTTCAGAAAATGTGGCTCAGTTCCAGAGACAGTCTGGTTGTTTTGGTTCAGTGAACATGAATGAAGAATGACTTAATTCTTGCATCTTAACAGGAAGAAGATGGTCTGCAGGGGCCTCAGCAGCAGCTGGGAGAGGAGAAAAAAATCAAGCAGCCAGAAACATTGACTGCTGCCTCTGGCACATGGCTGAGCAAAACTGTAAAGGTGAGTCCTGGCTCCAGCAGAGCCCTCAAAGTGAGTCTGCGGTGTCCAATTGGCTCCCGTGGTTTGGAGCCAGCCTGCAGATTTATTATCCATCCGTGATGGAGCAGGAAACAAAATCCTCAAGCATAGGCTGCTGGGGTTTAACAGGCGTCCATGCAGAGCAATGGGATGTCTTCCCGGGCGCTCAGCTGAGCGCTGAGCACGGGGGAAGCCGAAGGAGAACCAGCCTTGCCTTGGGCGGAGGAGCCAGCCTTGCCCCGGAGAGCCGTCGGGAGCGGCCGCGGGATGGCAGCACGCCGTGGGGCGCCAGCGCAGCCCACAGCAG